AACTTCTCTTTAAACTCTGTTCTAGTTCTAGCCTTCACAGCCTCCTGCAGCAAGGAGTTCCACAGGTTGACTCTTTGCTTTGTGAAGAACAACTTTCTGTTACTAGTTTGAAGTCTGCTACCCATTCATTTAATTTGGTGTCCTCTAGTCCTTCTCTTATGGGAACTAATGAAGAACTTTTCTTGATGCACCCTCTCCACCCAACTCCTGCTTTTATCGACCTCTATCCTATCCCCCCCAGTCTCCTCTTTTCTAAACTGAAAAGTCCCAGTCTCTTTAGCATCTCTTCATATGGGACCTCTTCCAAACCTCTGATCATTGTAGTTGCCCTCCCCTCTCCCAGCCTCTCTCTTCCCCTCTCCCACCTCCTTTTCCCAGTCTCCCCGAGTTTTGTTCAATAAAGAGAGTTTCTATTTTTGACCACACGTTTTCTTTATTTTGTACATCAGGAAGGGGAGCTAGGGAGGGGTAAGTGGAAGGAGATGAGGGAGGAATGGGACACGAGCCCCCGATGGGGAGGACTGGGCTGGCTCTGCGGGCTCCTCAGGGTGGAAGCTCTCCTGCAGCCCCCCGATTGACCCCCCTCCCTGGATGGCAGCTTGCAGCAAGTGCAGCCGGGCTGATGGCCGAGTGCTGTGATATGCCGAGTGTGGGCACTCCGGGCACTCCAAGCCAGGACTGCTTTGCAAGCGGGGAACCCCTGAGAACTGTCTGTCCAGGGTGGGAGTCGGGTCCCTTTAAGCACAGCCCTCGGCTAGCCTGAGACAGCAGCTCCATGCTCTAAGTCCTACTCTGATGCCCTGCCGGCACTGCTTCCGGCCATCCTTAACCTCGGTTCAGAGTCCACTCAGTTGGGACATGCTAGTTCGAATTAGCAAAATGCTAATTTGAACTAGTTTTTAAGTCTAGATGCGCTAATTCGAATTATCTTAGTTCGAGGCGTACAGCTAGTTCGGATTAGGAAGCCTAATCCGAACTAGCTAGTTCGTGCCGCGTGTAGCCGCACGGCACGCAGTCCAAACTAGCCGGCATTTAAAAATGGCGCCGGCCGGCTTTATGCAAATGAAGCCTGGGAAATTCAAATCCCGGGCTTCATTTGCAACTCCGTATGACTCATCCCCCCCCCCCCCAGTTTGAACTAGGGGGGTAGTGTAGACATACCCTAAGTTAGTTCGAATTAGCGCTGTAGTGTAGACATACCCTAAGTCAGCTGCTGTGTATGATTGGCCAGGTTACCTCCGCGGTGGCCCCACCTCTTGAGAGAGAGCTGATGGTGGCAGAGCAGCCAAGGGTTACTGGGACAGACTAGCTCCCATCATGGCCATCTCAGCCCAAGGCTAACAATTGTGTTGATTGCATGACAGGGTGTGCCAGGACCTGTGGGCCCTGCTGGATCCAAAGGAGAGCCAGGGGACGCTGGGCTCCGAGGACAGGTGTGTAAGATGTTCTATCTCCCTTGGCTCATTTTCTGAGCCAGCCGGGGTAGGTTACTAGCTCCCTTCTGTGGATTTTCCTTCTGAAGGTGGAAGTAACTCAGGGAAAGCCCAGTTCTGCTGGGGTGTGGGGAGAGTGGGGGGAGGAGGGAAGCGGGAGGCTGAGCTGGCCCCTCTCCTGGGTTGTGTTCCCTTCATGGTTCCTGCCTCCTAGTGTAACTCTCCTTCTCTGCCCCCTGGGCCCAGCTCTGATGGAGGCAGGGCCCTTCAGCCTGCACTGTAAGGTTGTTCTTCCATCTCAGAGTGTGTGGGGTGACCCAAGATTGACCCATTTGGCTTGGAAGGGGTTGTTACACACCCACACCCCACCACCCCAGCGTTCCCTGCTGCAGGGATTCTGAATGCAGGTCCCATACGGGGTGGGCCTTTAATCACTTTATAGCTCTGCCCAGTGAGGAAATGGTGACAGCAACCAGGGTTCAGCGGGCTGTGTAGGGGTGGGAAGTCAGTATCCCCCTGCCTATGCCATGGACCAAGCAAGGGGCTTAGTTCTGTGCTCCCTTGCTGTCCTCTTTCCTGTCATTCGCTCATTTCATAACCCAGCCCTTGAAGTGAGAAACCTCCCCTAGTCTCTGGTGTCACTCTTCTGTTAAATGTCCATATTCCCTTGCCTGTTTCTAGGCGATTGTTGGTCCTCCTGGAATGAAAGGCGAGAAGGTAAGAGGCTCGGGGGAAATCTGAAGAAAAAGCTGCAGAGGGGGACTGGGAGCCAGGACTCCTGGGTTCTTTGTCCAACTCTGGCCCTGAACCTGTATTGATGATAATGTTCGAGCTCAGTAAAAGCCAGGGAGGGAGAGGGTGGTGCCAGGACAGCCAGGAGTGAATAACCAGCCCTTTGGTGCGGGGCTTTCTCCATGCCACACTGCCCATGTTCACTCCAATGCCATGAGCTGCATCTGCTCTGGCTTCCCCGCATCTGCGCCGGAGTTCCAGGGTGCCAGGCGACACCAGGAGTGGTGGCTTGTGGTGACTAGTATTGGTGGAAGGAGGGAGCCCAGATGTCAGCTCAGGATGGGAGGGGAGTGGGGAGGCCTGATGCTCACTCTGTGGAGATGCGGGGGGAGGGGTGGGGGGGTGTCTGATGTGCTGACCCTTTGTGTGCTGCTGTCTAGGGTGCCCCTGGCGATATTGATGGGAACCTGCTGGGTGAGCCGGTAAGTTGGCCTTTCATGTCCCTTCTCTCTGCCATGGCTCAGACTCTGCACCCAGAGCCAAGCACTAACTCTGCTTTCTGCCTGCAGGGTGCCAAGGGCGAGCGAGGCTTACCGGGCCCCAGGGGAGAGAAGGTGAGGAACTTCCCCACTACACCCCACCCCCATTCCAGGGGGACCTCCCACTCTCTGCTCTTAGCCCCCTCCGTATGATGGCTCGTGGTGCCTTTGTGACCTGGCCTGTTTCACTCCCCGTTGGTGAGTCTCACTCTCTTTCTTCCTGCCAGGGGGAGTCTGGAAGACAGGGGGAGCCTGGAGACCCTGGGGAAGATGTAAGTACCATGTCGATGGGGTGTTGGGAGTGGCTGGCATCCCCACTGTAGCAATGCTCAGTCCAGGCCTAGTGTTAGAGGCTGGGGGAGGCTCATCCCCAACCGATCTGCTCAACCCCACTTGGCGCTGTTCAGCTTTTGTCCTGGGCTCAGCACTGGAGTAAGAGCCATTTTGAACTGTTTCATTGCCCCATCTGAATGGGAAGCCTTGGCCTTTGCTGTAGAAACCCTCTGAGCACAAGGCAGCTCCTGCATGGCTGAGTCCTGGCTCCAGGGGGAAGGGTAACGGGGTGCATTGTAATCCATTTCTGACAGAGGGTGCACAAGCACGTGCACCCCCTCAGACATGTACGTGTGCAGGTGAGCGTGCACTGTGTGGTTGTTCTTCATGGTTTCTTCCCCCTGCTTGTATTTTAACAGGGAGCCAAAGGAGCCCCTGGAGTCAAAGGGGAAAAGGTACGTAGCAGCTTTGGTACTTGGGCTCCAGGGTGCTGAGCCTCCCTGGATCACCCTGTCATTCTCACAGAATGGGGAGCAGTTAGTACTGGGTGGCTCCAACACCCGCCTGTCACTTGTTCCCTTCCAATGTGCACTCGGATTCATGTCCCTGAGGTATCTCACGTGCAGTTTGATTGGCATGTGTGGGTGGCTGAGGAGCAGGGAGACTGTGGTAGCAACCAGAAGGGAAGGTTGCTGAGGGGGCATGAGACAGAGACAGCCTGTGGGAGCCGGAGCAGCCACCAGCTGTGTGTTCGGGGTTACTGGCCTGCTCTGATGGATGTCTGGCGGGGTGAAAGGCTGGTGTGAAGGGCTAACCCAGGCCCTGCTTGCACTAACAGTGACTGTGGTGCTCACAGCTGTGGAACTGATGCACCTGGGCACCTAAGCTGCCCCAGTGTCCCCTGCTGTGCCTCACTCCTGCCCTAGTGGGACCTGCTGGGGCTGAGAGGGGAGCTTATGCTCCGGGCCCCATCTGACCACCAACAAGCAGGGCCAGCAAAGGGTTGGCTCCGGTGAAGTGGCCACTTTCCCACTAGGGACTGACAGGCCTGCCAGTGAACAGATACAGATTGCAACTCTGCACAGTCGTCCCACTCCCATCCGCTCGGAATCCCTATACATCCCTATGTACCCAGCCTCTGCCCCTCCATGGGGCATGACTTACCACTTCTGTTCCATCTGCACCACTCAGGGTTCGGTTGGGATTGGCCTGCAGGGACCCCCTGGACAAGATGGGCCTCAAGGTTTGAAGGTAACGTCTCCGAAGACTTATAAGCACAGAGAACCTCTCTCTAGTAATGGGGGGGATCTGGGAATCGGATCTCTTGGGTTTGCTTCCCACCTCTGCCTTGCTGAGTGGCTTGGGCCAAGCCTCTTCCCGGGCTCTGTTGCCCGTCTCCCTGTTTGTATAATGGGGTAATGACTCTTGTTAAATACTTGCTTGAAAGCGCATATTATACAGGGAGTGAAACTCCATGTGCTGGCCGTGGTGCTGCTCCCCATTCGGTATTGTTCCTCCTGCTGTATCTGACTCACTGCCAAGCCAGGAACTACTGGGCATTTTTACAACACGAGCAAGATGCCCATAATCTCCCCCTTCATGGGAAACTGGTTATTTGGTAGATTCTCCAAGCTGTTTGAGTCACAGGACGACTCTCGTTGGGGCAGAAGCAGGATAGGGAGGGCTGGATGCCCCCCCACACACACCCTGCCTACCCCGCCCCTCCCAGCTTTCAGTGTTTGCAGAGCTCATGTGGCATCAGCACCACTGGTGCTGGACAGCTCCTGCTGAGCCTGTGGTGTCCCCTGAAGAGCTGGGGCTCTCCTACTCCTGGCTCAAACCAATCCCCCAGCAGAGACGTTCAGCAGCCAGTTACCAATGGAAATTACCCCCTCTCGCACCACCTGCGCACCCAGGGAAAGGTACCTACCTCTGTGTTCACACACCTCCTGGGGCCAGGATATCTCCACTCCGGCGCAGCCTGACCCTGCCGCACCAGCCCGTCTCCACATGCAGGCCTGAGCGCCTCTCTTCTGTGCCGCCTCCTTGGACAGGCCTGAGATTCTTTGTGTTGCTTCTGCCCACTCTCAACATGTGGGTGTTTGGCAGAGCCTGCCTCCATTTGACTCCCCCCTTGGGGCTGAGTGTTCTGCCCGGTTGGAGCAGAGCCTGAAATCAGAGGCCCCAGCCACTGCTCCTCCCTCAGCAGCCTGCATCAGGGCCAGCTGAGGGGAGTCCTTCCCCAGCAGCAAGCTCAGTAGCACTGGCTCCTTCTGCTTCCCCTGCAGGGCGACACTGGCTTACCTGGCCCACCAGGATCCCCTGGCTTGCCAGGCACCGCAGGGACCCCTGGCCAGCCAGGTCTGAGGGCAGAAAACGGACAGCCAGGCCCACCAGGACCTCCAGGAGAGCGGGTAAGAGGTGCAGTCCCCTCCGGCCCAGCTCTGGCCCATCTCAGCCAACTAAGGCAGAGCTACATGGACCTGTCCTCACACACCCCAACAGCATCTACTGCTCAGCCCTGGGGCCAGCTCAGCAGCATGACTCCAGGGGCCCCCAGCTTCTGCCCTGGAGGTAGATGCAGGGGAGCCAGATTACAAAGGGAGGCCACTGGACCATGAGACATTCCAGAGCCCGAGGCTTCCTGTCCAGGGGCTCCTTGGTGCGGGCAGGCAGGGCTTCTGCTGTGGGAGTGCAAAGGATCAATGAAAGAAGCAAGAGAAAAGACCAGGCAGGACCATCTTGGCCCCCACCCCCCAGACCAGCAGCCCTTTCTGCAGTCCAGTCTGAAATATGTAGCCTCCTTCAGCTCCCATCCTGGGATGTGCAGCGAGTCTACAGCACCTCCCCGGAGGGTGAAGTGTCCTTTCTCCAGTCATGGCACTGGTCTGTCCTTCCTGGCAGATCCCCGTTCTCCCCAAGCTGCGCTGTTCCCCTCCCACGAGAGTGCTGGCATTTGACTCTGCCTGGTGCCCCGAGTGTGAGCTCTGCCATGGGCGAGCTTGGTGACGAGAGATGCCCCAGGGCTCTGCTTTGCCTCTTCCCTGGAGAGGCCTTAACTGTGCTCCCTTTACAGCCAAGGCTGCTCTGGGCCTTTGCTAGCTGGTGTGGGGCCTCTCTGTGGCCAAGGCCTTTCTTGACTGATGGGTATTTTTCCTGCTAGGGTTTGATTGGCTTCCCTGGAAGAGATGGCACCTCCGGATCACCAGGACCACTGGGCCCCCCAGGGCCAGCTGTGAGTGTTGGGCACCTGGGGCAGAGAGTGCTGGGTGGGTAGCCAGGGCTAGTTGCAGCCTGGTGAGAGTAGGAGGATGATGGTTCCCAGCTATTGGTCACCCTAGCTCAGCGTCTCCCTGTGTCTCCCAGTAGGGGCCCTGTACTGCCTTGGGGAGGGAGAACTAGGCAGGGTGCCAGGGTGCTCTGACAGTGCAGCAGGCAAGAGAAGTCAAAGTGCCGCGCTCTCCGGGGAGCAAACAAACAGTGCAGGGGGTGACAGGCAGCCTCCCTGGGCCAGGATAGAGGCCATTGAAACCCAAGCTAGTGCTACTTTGAACAGCTCCAAAGGGAGGGATTTGAAAGGCCAAGTGCAAAGCAGGCGAGCTGAGTGTCTAATGCATCTGGGCCATTGCCACAGCAGAGGCCTGTTGTCTGCTTGGACACACAGTCCCAAGGATTGTGGGAGAGCTTCCAGCCCCCACTCCCTATGCGTGGGGTTCACCATTGGGTGCTGGAAAAACCTCTTGCCTACCCCAGTGCAGAGGCCCTTAGGGCGTCTCCCCGTGGACTGGAGCTAGGTCAGTTTTGTGTCCATATTCAGAGCTGGGTGAGAGACTTACAATGGAGTGTCTTTGAACTATTTCCTTGAGTGGTGGGATGAGGGGGGAGTGGCTGGACGGATGGATACCTGTGTTACTTCAGCTGAAACTCCCGTCACTTGCTTGTCCCCTTGTGTTAATCCCTGTTGCCACTAGAGCTACCCAGGGCCAGACAAATGAAAGGGGAGTGAGGTGAGCAATAACAGTGACATGGCTGAGCTCCGTGGTGTCGCTGAGACCAGGGTAGTGCTGATTTCCATACCCTGTAACAGAGCAAACCCCCTGGGATTTCTTCGGAGGCCCTGGGCTGGGCCTGGTACACTGACCTGTCTCTCTTGTTTTAGGGGGCACCAGGCACTCCAGGACTGAAGGGTGACAAGGTAGGCTGTGGCTTAACCCCTACTGTGCCAGCTTCCTGTGGCTCATGGAGTGGGGGGCAAGGGCACGTATTTTCCAAGGGCCCCAACTAGAGAATTTTTTTCTTGCTTGGTGGGTGTTCCCTGCTGCCTGTGAATAACACCCTTGGGGGATGGGTCTCTGGAGGAATCCTGACTTTTCTACCTCCAGCTTGGATGAGGGGCTGGTGATGTGGATAGTCAGAGGGCCAGGGACATCTCAGAGCTATCTACAGGGACAGCCCTTGGGGTCAAAGGTGTCTCAGACCCAATTGCAAAGGCAGCTCTTGTCCCTTCCTCTGGAAAAGCTTGCTCTGGGGAGCCAGGTCCCATAGGCTGAGCCAGGGCTGGCAATGCTCTGAGTACAGGTACCGAGGAGCAAGTGAGCTCCTGCCCTGCTGCATGACCTGGGTGCCCAGAGTGTGGGCTGCGCTAGCAGAGCCAGGTCCCGTTCAGGCAGCCATCAGACAGCAGCTCCCCTGAGGATGCAGGTGGCATGCGGATCCTGCCCCCTACTTGGAAACCCCTGAGCACCAAGGGAGCGGCAGGGAGATGCCACGTCTTTCCATCTTCACCGCGTCCGGTTGTCAGTGTTGTGTATGGGCAGGGCAGTGTCCCATGGAGCACGGTGTTAGAGATTCCCAGAGCTGGGAACAAGGGAGCAAGTAGAGGGCGTGGAAAGGGACAGCCATTGGCTAGATCCAGCAGGGCCCGTGTAGCCCGCATTGTTGGCATGTGTGCAGGATTGCCACTTACCTTGGCTGAGAGAACGCTGCTGTGAGCTGCAGGGTCACTAACGCCCTGTCTCTCTGCCCTGTAGGGAGATGTGGGGGTTGGACAGCCGGGCCCCAGAGGCGAGCGAGGGGATCCAGGGCAACGGGTATGTATCTGCCTCTTGCCTTCCCCCACTGTGGAGTACAGAGCCTGCTCACCCACCCCTCTCCCAACACTGCCGTGTGTGAGGAGACGTGCACATCGATCCCACAGGCCAGAGAGGCTCTCGATCGCTGCAGGGAGCACTGGGGAGCACAGGCCTGGTGGCTTTGGGATGTCTGCACGGCTCTGCTTGGGCATGGAGCAGTCTCGGAAGCTAGGGATGGAGAAGACCCATTGGGGCTTTTGAGCCCATCTCCTTGAGGAGAGCCCCCGCCCCCCCTTAGCGCACACACTCTGGCTAGAGCTGAGGAAAGCCCACAACTGGGTACCTTGGAAATATCCTGTGCCCAGGACCCTCCTCAAGGCCAAGGTCACTGTGCTGGGGCCTTGCCACTCACCCCCCTCGCCATGGATCAGGATGGCAGCGTACGGAATCGCCCCGCTGGGCCCCTCGGGGCTCAGCTCTCCTGTCCCCAGCCCCGTGCTCTGCCTCACTGTCCTTTTCCTCCTCGGCAGGGTGAAGACGGGCGCCCAGGGCTGGAGGGAGATCGTGGGCCTGCGGTAAATACCTTCCTCCTCCCCTCACCTTGCCCTTTAACCAAGGGCTGGGATTGGCTCGCGTACCAGTGACTCTCCTTCTTTTTTCTCTTTAGGGGCCTCCCGGGAACCGTGGGGAGCGAGGTGACAAAGTAAGCAACCTGCCTGTGTGGGGCGGCTGCGGGTACAGTCCCACTTTGAACGGGAATGGGGTCAGGCTGGGGATTGCCACAGCTTGCTTGGGATGGGGGCTCCTGTCCCGGGGAGCTCAGGGCTTATTCTCCCTCTTACTCTTACTTCTCCCGGTTCCTAGGTCAAATAAAGTTAGATGTGACCCTATTTCTCTCTGATCCCACCTGTTTATGCCTCTTAGGACCTGATGAACTTCCCTAGGTTTGTGGCCCTCTAGGCTCTCCTTCCAACCATTCTCCTCCAATCTGGAGGTCAGGGCTCTGGCCGGTCTCTTTGCTGCTCTGGGGGAGTCCATTGGGCCTGGCAGTGGCCTGACGGGCTGTAACAGGAATGGGGCCTGGCAGCTGTGAGACCCATGTGCCCCTGTGCGAGGCACATTTCTGACCCACGTTCCCTTCCCTTCTAGGGAGATGTTGGAGCTCTGGGGCTCAAAGGAGACAAGGTGAGTTCCTCCTCCGCTGATTGGAAGGATTGATTGGCTGGCTGCTACAGTACAGCTGCTTTAAAATGATCTGTAAAGCAGCATAGGTTGGTGGCAGGTAAATATCTAAACCTGAATTGATGTCTCACTACAGTAGGGCACAGAGAGATTTGCAGAGATACGTCTCCAAAGAGTGTGTTCATTCCCCATTTATTTGTTAGCTTTTTCAGTGACAGCCTCTTTGCTTCTTCTGTGCCTGCAGACCTGAGACTGTCTGGGCCAGAGTTCCCAGAGGAAGGTGGGAAAGTGATTCTGCACTGGCAAAGCCACAGTGCCCTGAACGTTTCCAGGTGCTCCCGCCCAATTGCAGCCTCCCCAAGGGAATCCTTCCAGTGCTAGCGGCCAGCATAGCTTTGCTCAGACTGGGCACTCCCTGACCCCTTCCTGTGTCCCGGAGAAGCAGCCCCAGGGGGTCTCGCTACTGGACCTGCCCTTTCCGGGGATGACGCCCTGCCCCCCACCTACCCACAGCGCAGGAGGTTGTCTGCCATGCAGTGCAGTGATGTGGGGTGGGCGTGGGGGGGAGCTAGACTCATGATTGGCTTGTGACTGACAGCAGGTGGTTCTTGGGCACATGACCCTGCTTAAACCAATGAGATTACAATCTGCGGCATGGGTTGGTGGTTTATTTTGAGTTCTGAAGGCTTCTGTATTTTTTCCCCCATCCAGGGTGATACCGTCATTGTGGAGGGACCAGCTGGAGTCCGGGGGAGCAAGGGGGAGCCGGTAAGAGCCCTACCCCATAGAGCAAGGGGTGTGGAGGAATGTTCGGGGGGGCTGAGCGGTGTCGCCAGACAGAGTGGACCAGTTTTACACAGTGGGGCTCAGGCCAGTCAATGCCACCTCCATGCCCGACTCACCTCAACCGGACCGGCCACCCCACCTATGGGTCGGTGTTAACATCTGCCATTGCTGCTCTGATTTCCACTCCCGGCACCCTCCACACCCTAGCGCTGGCTCCAGCCCCAGAGACCATCATGTGCCCCCTCCCCCCAAAAAAAACTAGGGGGAGAGGCAGGTCTGGTGTCTATTTTTGTCGGGAGTGGGGGAAAGCCCACACTCAGAATTATAACATAAAGCGGAGGTGCAGCCCAGAACGTTTGAAAACCGCTGCCTGGGCCCAGAGCTGGCTGCTCTCAGGAAGCTTTGAGGAGATTTCATAGAACACTAGAACTGGAAGGGACCTCGAGAGATCATCAAGTCCAGTCCTCTGGCCTCATGGCAGGACTAAGAACTGTCTCGATCGGGGCTACTCAGCTTTGGAAGCCTTGGGGGCCACAATGATACAGCACATGCCAAGGTTGCAACTATGTAAATATATGCAAATAACTTTTCACACTGATGGGCATGAATACAAAGATACTCTAGATCAGTGTTTCTCAACCTTTTTTTTATAAAGTACCCCCTTTTTCAAACAAAAAATAAGTACCCCCTTTTAAAAAAAAATAGGTACCCCCAGTACCTACAGTTTTCAGACACTGATTTATTTTCTACCATTGCAACACATTTGTTTAAACAACTTAATTGTAGCCATGCGGGCAATGAAATTTTTGGGTGTAAAAAGTACAAAAACAATAAAGAGCTGTAAAACTTAAAACAAAAATTTAGTTTTCTCCAAATTTCAGTTGTATTGATGTACCCCCCAGACTTCTCTCAAGTACCCCTAAGGCTACTCATACCCTGGTTGAGAAACACTGCTCTAGATCATCCCTGACAGGTGTCTTGGCTAACCTGCTCTTAAATATCTCCAGTGATGGGGATTCCACAACCTGCCCCAGCAATTTATTCCAGTGTTTAACCACCCTGGCAGTTAGGAACTTTTTCCTGATGTCCAGCCTAAAGCTCCCTTGCTGCAGTTTAAGCCCATTGCTTCTTGTCCTATCATCAGAGGCCAAGGAGAACAATTTCCCCTCTCTTCCCTGTGACAGCCTGAAGTTGTTTCCTGCTATTGACCCTTTAGCTGCCAGCTCCAGCCTGTGTCATTTCCCCCCATAACTCCCTCCTGTCTTGGGGTTTACACCCCAGATCTTGACAGACGTGTCTCTGCGTGCCTCTTCCCCCAGTCCCGATGTCCTGTTAGTCAAACAGACCAGACTTTACCCCAGGAGTCTACCCTCCAGCCCCAATTCGTATCTTGCTCTTCTCTGAATCCCAGCCTATGGGTCATTCTCTCTCTGCATTGAATCTTCTGCTCTTCCCCCTGCCCAGGGAGACCGTGGCCTGAAGGGAACGGAAGGGGAGAAAGGCGACAAGGGGGACCCAGGCTTTCCAGGAGAGAAGGTACGTGGGTGAGCAGGTGGGTATGGGAGCAGGCTGTTGGAAAGCTGTCCCAGGAGTTTGGGAGATGCCTCCACGTGCTAGAGGCTTGGCAGGTGCTGCGATGAGTGAGCACGGGGGAGCACAGCTGGCCAGAAGAGCCAGGAGCTGGACGCTTTGTGCCCTTTGCTTGCTGTGAGCGCAGCCTTTGAGAGAGGAAGGGCTTGAGGCTGGTTTTGGTGGGAGCTGCAGGGCCTGGTTATGGAATGGAGACCAGCAAGGAGGAGGATGAAGGGGGGGCTACTGGAGGCTGCAGGGGAACAGGCTGAGATGGAACTGAACAGGCTTGGCTGCAGCCAGTGGCGTTCTCTGCTGGTGGCTCAGAGGCACCTGGTCCTGCCCAGCCGCAGCCCCCCATCCCACTGGCAGTGGGCGCTGGCGCTCAGCAGAGCGGCCCCTGGACTTCTCCTTTCCTGGGGGTGCATCAGCCTGTTCAGTAGCAGAGCTGGCTAGTGAGTCACTGCTGCAGAGGAAGCAACTCAGGGAGGTTTCATTTCTGCCATTTGGGGTCCTCTTGTTTGAACCTGATGTGATTTCAGAGGCTGGTTCTGTCCCTCCAGGCTGTGCAGTGACGTGTGCTTTCACCCGCAGGGAGGGAAGGGCGAGCAAGGAGACAAGGGCTCCAAGGCTGTGCAGTGACGTGTGCTTTCACCCGCAGGGAGGGAAGGGCGAGCAAGGAGAGAAGGGCTCCGCAGGCTTCCCCGGAGCACGCGGTCCAGGGGGGCAGAAGGTAAGAATAGCCCCAGGTATGTGCACAGCTCTGCCCCTGCCACCCATGCACAGGGGTACGTGTGCCTGCAAGCATCTGTGCACTCAGGCCTGCCAGAACCTCTGCTGTGCTAGCTGCCCACCCGTCACCATGCTGGTACGTACATGCATGCGGCACTTGGGCACCCAGCCCTGACCTGGGCTGTTTGTCTTTCCAGGGTGAGGTTGGCGAATCAGGAGACTCTGGAGCGCCGGTGAGAACCCCTCCCTTGCTGCTGTTTCTCGCCTGTTGCCCAAGAGCAAAGCGCGAGAGTCACTCTGTGTTCCCTCTCTCTCCAGGGCCTGCCAGGGAAGGATGGAATCCCAGGACTGAGAGGGGAGAAAGGGGACATGGGGCCACTGGGAGTCCGAGGGCCTAAGGTGGGTTTTCTCTCGTCCGTCTATCTGTCCTCCTGTCACCCTGAGAGCCTGCCTGCCCAGGCCAGACGTAGGCCTAGGGCAGACCAGAGGGAACAGGAGCCTGTCTGCATTCGGGGTCACTCCCAGGGAAGCCCCAGCCACTGATTGCCCCAGGAATGGGCTCAGACGCGGCTGGGCCATTGCAAGGGGGCTGTGTTTCCTCCCCAGAGTGGGTTTGGTGCCGTCAGCTGCAGGACACTGATGGTCTTGATGGCCTGTGTTTCGCCCCTTGCCACCCAGCATAGACCCCACCTCCTGCCCCGGGCTTAGTGCGTCACGGAGCTGTGTGCTGACTCCTCTCTTCACTGCAGGGGGAGCGGGGAACGAAAGGCGCCTGTGGCCAGGACGGAGACAAGGGGGAGAAGGTGAGTGTTTTTGGTGCCGTCAGCTGCAGGACACTGATGGTCTTGATGGCCTGTGTTTCGCCCCTTGCCACCCAGCATAGACCCCACCTCCTGCCCCGGGCTTAGTGCGTCACGGAGCTGTGTGCTGACTCCTCTCTTCACTGCAGGGGGAGCGGGGAACGAAAGGCGCCTGTGGCCAGGACGGAGACAAGGGGGAGAAGGTGAGTGTTCGCGGCTCTGCACGGCACCCCCCCCGCCCCCGCCCCGCCACCAGCGGGGGGGGGCCGTGGG